AGGGGTTACACGGGGAAGTACAACAGCAGTCAACAGGAGGCCAGGGAAGAGACCTGTCACGGTCAGTCAGCAGGAGGAGCTCCACGCCAACCAGTGTGAACTACTATGAGAGATCAACCCAGACCGGGAGCCTGCTTATGAACTATACCACAAAGTAGCTGTCCCAAACCTACATGTTCCTATTGAAATAAATCACGTAAATCTATTTCGGCTGTTGTCGTATTTCCTTCTTTTAAACATACGCTTGTCTATAACAACAAGAATACATGTTGTGCTTTTCAAGGTTTAAGAAAAATTTGTTTGTCCTTGTTATAAGTCAATTCCACATAATTAGCACATTATAAACCAAGTAATTCACCACATATTCCTTTTCTTTTCCTTTTTTTTTATTACTGAGAACCTTTGTATGTTATAATTAAGGACAGAATTGGCATCTACTCTTTAATCTTTGTTTTTATCACACTATTTCAGCTGACCTACTCCAGGTATGTTACATCTGGTGTTATTTAGAAGTCATTAAGTGTTTGATTATTTTTCATCATTCTAACAGGAATGACAGTGTTCACATAAGGTTTGATAAACATTTAATAAACTAACAATTTTTCATGATGACTTATTTTTAATTTGGCCAATGCTAAGTAATATTAAGACTCAAAAAATATTACAGCTTCAGAAAAATGTTATTAAAGCCCGTATAACTTCAGTGATTATAAATTGGAAAAGAAATAATCTCAGTTTAAAGGTCAACCTTTATTTTTAGTTTCTTTAATTTGTTCCTGATGACCCCGTTTTTTTGGTTGAGATCTGATGAAATGGAGAAATTTAGAAAAGAGAAATTTAAATTCAATTTAAACTTTCATCATTAACTGACATTAATAACAGTTTCATATTTTCAGTTCCTTTTTTTAATATCATTTATATATTCTTTTGCAGTCATTTCAAATTATTATGATAGGTTTCATTTAGTTTTGAAATTTATTTCAGCTTAATTTGCATTTTTAATTTTTTTTGCCTTCATCTGTTCTACTTCTTGTTTTAGTGTTGATTTTCATTTTTTTTTCCCAAACTGCTATTTTATTTATGCTTTTGTAATATTTAAAACATTTGTCTTATGTTACTATTTTAGTCTTTTCAGTTCTTATTTTACTTGCAATCTTAATTTTTCTGTATATATTTTTATTATTTGTGATTAATCATTGAAATGTGCTTAAATTTCATTTACTTTATTTAAGTTTACTTATTTCAGTTTAAATGTTTTCTTTATTTTTTCCTGATTGTCTTCCTTTGAATCTCTTCAAAATTATTTTCATTTTATTAGGTTTTTCCTTTGATTTTATTCTTAAATTTTATCTCTTTTTCTAATTTATTCAAGACTTTTGCTGGCAAACTTCAATTCATTTTACGAAAAGATTTTTTGCCTAATTTATATATGGAAAAACATTGTCTAACTTTATATTGTATTTTTCTTTTATTCTTTAACAATTTTTTTACACAACTATTTTGTCATTATTTTTAGCTTTTTAAATTATCCTTTTAATTATGCTTTTAATGCTTCATATTTTTTTTTATTTTATTGCATAGACAAACCTTTCACATTTAAAAAAATCCATTATTTCTTTCTTTTTAATTTTTGTTTTATTCACTTTTTCTATTTTTTTATATGTGAATCTGATTTTGTTTTGTTTTCTTTTTTATTCGTTCTCCATTTTCCTTTAATTGCTGAATGTTTCCTCATCTGAAATAGATTTTTACTTTGCTCTCTCTTTAATTTAGTTGTCAAATCAATTTTCAGCAGTTACACAGAAGAAATGCCCCCTGAAAACTTAAAATTTTATAAAAGAAACTTGCAGAACTCTGTATTTTTTCAGTTTCCTAAAATAAAGTATTTACTATTTTGATATTAAATGTTGTCATTGTTTTCAAATACGTAGATAAATAAAAAATTTATCATTCCTCTTTATTTATATACCGTCAGATTTTGCTTCTTACAGCTTGACCCAACCTTCTCCTTCTATGATGTCATGTCCCTTCAGGATGTAGTCAAACATGGCTCACCATAACTTCCTTTCCTTTTTAGCTTAGTAAGTTTTATCTTTTTGTTATCACCTCTAATCTTGTTCTGCCATCCATTTACACAAGTTCATTAGGTAAGTTACTCATTACTTTCCTCTATCCCCTTCTGTTTTTAAGATGTCCTATGACAATCAGATTCTCCAGGGCTGAAGTTTAATATTCTTTCTGCTCTATAACCTAACACCAGTTTTTATGTGCTTATAAAATATTTCGTTTTTCTGATATTTATTAAAGATTTTCATTTATAATTTTGTATTTCGTTTTTGAAATGAGCAATTGTTAATATACTTCACTTAATTTGAAATATTATTTTGGTTGTTATAAGTGTTAATATAGATACAATGTTTCAGTCAACTACCCTCTGGGCATCATCAGGTTTTCATTGTTTGCCTCATATGGGATATCTCTTGATTACTGCATTATTTTTTCCCCTGTGATGCCAGTGCTTTACTACCTGATCCAGAAATTAAATTCATCACCACTAGATGACAGTGACATATATTTTAACCAACTCCTATATCCACATCAGTCATATTCTTTTCAAGCTTTTATATTGTCAGATATTTTCAGAATTTGGTTTATCATGGTTGGTTTGTATAGCTTTTGCAATAATTTTTATTTCATTTTTGAGATAAGCAATTGTCAGTATATATATTTTAGTCATTCATTTGTAGTGGGCATAGAAAAAATGCTTTAATGCCAGATGAAAGATTTGAACCCTGTGTAAATGGTTTCTTTGCTATATTCAATACAAAATTATTTATCAGCTACAATGATTACAACCTGCAAAAGTTTTTTTTATTCATCTATGGGTTTAAATTACGATAACATTCTTGCAAACCATAGCGAGGCAGACAAAAACAATACCTTGCCTAAGGGTGACCTAAAAATATACAAGGCAGGAATTATAATATAAATAGATTAATTTACTAAGAACTTTGGTACACTTCTTTTATCCTCTATACACTTGAGAAGACTGAAGCAGTGAATCTGACCCACATCACAGTGGTACTTCTTTAGAGAAAACAAAAAAAGATTAAAGAAGAATTTTAAATTCCAATTCCAGAGTACTCGTTTCATTTCTGGTATCAAAAACTGTTCAAGGTTAAATATTTGCTTGACTCTCTTTTATTTGTACCAGTCATTCAGTCTTGATTATTTTGCCAAAAGCAAGATTTTTCAGTGCTACACACCAAAACTAATAGTTTTATCCTTTATGTTTTGTTCTTTTCACTTGTCAGTCACAAGCCATTCAGTTGCAAATAAAATAAAAATCCAATCCCAATAAAAAGAAAACTACTTTTTTGAATCATGATTTTAGGTATTTTCCCTGTAACAACCTCGAGGCTTTTTTTTTTTCTTTTTTCTTTATATTTTATTTTCTCCTCTTCTTCTATTTTTTTTTTCTATCCTTAGGCTTTTAATAACTTTCTCGGAATTGAGAGCCTGGTTATGAAGATCTTTATAAGGTAGTAATATTATGATCTGCAGCTTAGGTGGATGAGAGGTTGGAAAAAAAAAAATGGAGACATTTAAAAACATGATTTAGTTCAGTTGAGCCTGGCACTGCCATCACGCAGTAGTTTTGTCATTTTTCCAAAGACAGAATTCGTCATGTTAAATTACATCTTTTATTGCATTTTCATGATCTTAGGGTTAGTTTTTTTAGGAATACTGTCATACCGTGACATGAAGCAAGTTGAAAATATATATCGTGACTGCTCACAACTATTTTTTTTTTAAACATTTGTATGGAAAAAATATATTGGCAAATTTTCTTATTTAAAAATACAATTTTTAAAGAAAAACAGAATTGAGAACAGTTTCTTGTGTTATTGTCTAACATTTATTGGCTAGAACTCATTTTGAATACTCTACTGAAGAGTAAATGGAGTATTTATGAATGTGGATTGGCTTTAGCCATTTTTTGCATCTTCTTGACAAGTTTCAATAAAGAGAGTTACAAAGAGAAGTGTACTTAAGATTTCCTTTTTATCTGAACAACATCGATAAATACAAAATCATTATACAACTCATAACATTCTTACAGTAATTGACTGAAAGGAAATTTTATGTGAAAACAAACATCTCATATTTTTTTCTCTTATTCCTAGGTTGACAAGAAATTATATCTTTTCAAAAATGATATTTTTAATATTTGTTTTGAATAAATTCTGAATTTTAAAATGTGGCATAAATAATTTTCTCTTGGAAAATTTTTCTTTCAATGTAGATATACAAACAAAGCTAATCAGTTTAGTATAAAATAGTAATCAATTAAGATAGAAGAGGAATTTTTCCTGAAATACAATCTGTTTTTTTTTTAAGCGCCAATAAATCAAAGAACAGTAATCAATTTGGAAAACCACTTTAAATACTGGAAACTGACAAGCAAAGCTTAGAAAAAGAGTCAAGCGTTGGCCGTCTTGAATCATGTTTACAAACTTAATAAAAAATGATTAGGCATTTGCCATCTTAAATCATGTTTATATCTGATGGAATGATTGTCTGCAGATGTAAATATAAATCTGGTTAAGTACAATGAAATCTGTGTTTCTTAAATGCCTTTTGTAAAATGTTTTTACCCTAATTTTTGAATTAGAAAATAAATGTTGACAATGTCCCATAATTTTGAAGAACACAAGTTTATCAACCATTTTGTTTACATGTTATTTCTTCTTGTGCAATCTAGCACTAATTCAGTCCCTGTAAGGGTCATTTATCCCTTCATCATCATCAAAGAATTTGAAAAAATAAATCAAGCCTTTTTGTTGTATGATGAGAATCATTTGCAGCTAAGTTTACTCCCAGGGAATAGCTTATAGGGTATAGGGTTGACAAGTAGGTGCCACCTGCAAAACAGATGATTTGGAATCCAGTTGGTATTACAATGATATGATCAACAGAGCAGCCAAAATTAATAGATGTCAAATGTTCAGCTGCTTTTGAGGAAAAGCAAGACAAAATCGAGGACAAGACATTAGAGAAGGAAAAGTGTTAGTAAAATGAGAGAAAATAAATAATAAAAGGAAGTGAAAAAGAAAGGAAGAAAGCATGAAAAGAAAAAGGAAAGAAGGAAAAGGAAAGAAAGAATAAAAAAAAGGAAAGAAAGAATGAAATGAAGTGAAAAAGAAGGAAGAAAATATATAAGGATATGAAAAAAGAAGATGAAAGGAAAGCATGAAATAAAGTGAAAAAGAAGAAAGGGGAAAGAAAGATTGAAAGGAAGTGAAAAAAGAAAGAAAGTATGTAAGGATATGGAAAAAGAAAACAAAGAAGAAAAGAAAACATGAAAGGAAATGAAAAAGTTGAAGAAAAAGAATGAAAGGAATTGAAAAAGCAGAAAGAAAGTATGAAATGATATGAAAAAAAAGGAAAGAAAGCATGGAAAAAGGAAAAATTCCTGAAAGGAAATGAAAAAGAAGAGATAGAAGAAAAGGAAGCATGAAAGGAAAAAGAAAGGAGGGAAACAATAAAAGAATTTGGAAATGAAGATTAAAATAGAAAGAAAGAATGAGAGAAATGGTAGGCAAAAAAGAAAAGAGTGAAATAGAAAGAGAAGAAAATGCCTTTGCAGGAAAATGTTTTGAGAGAAAGTAATATTTTATTTAATATTTCGAAAAAGACAATCTTGTGTTATCTTTAAAAGTATTTTCCATTATTCCATAAATTATTCTGATTAATATCTTCATCTTTGTTTTGATTACTTCTTGGTTTTGGATAAATCCTCAACATTGCATTTCAGCAGGAAATTCATTATTTTTCAAGCCATTTTACCAAAATCGTTCAATTTATTTATAATATTTTTTCAAATAGTTTTCAGCCCACTTTTCTTATTCTATATGTTGTATCCCCATCAGGATGTTAGTGATCATGACACTGTACAATTTCCTGTCCTTTGCTGCTTTACATAACTTTTGTCTTTTTGCCATCTCTCTCAAACCCTGCCCCACTTTTGTGACTCAATGAACACTCATTGCCACTTTTGTGATGTCAATGAATACTCGTCGTCACTTTCGTCTTGCTCATTGCAGTAGAAACTTTTACAATTATAGTATGCCATTGAACAATACTGGTGTCAGACATCTTCAAATAACACTCACACCTAACAGTACTTGCCTAATAATACTTGCTTGAACAGCGATCCGTATAGTGATCCAAATAGAGAAATAATATAGTGAATAGTGTAGACTAGAAATGGTGATCCATATAGTAATAGAGGATAGAATAAAAATAGTGATCATTTAGACATTTTGCAAGTTCCTATATATATGCATTTCCACTATGGTCACATGATCTAATTAATTCAATAATGGAATCGCCTGTGTTTACTCACTGGCAATCTCTGTTCAAACTCAAGTGTCAGCAGCAACATTTTATTTCTATGTAACACCCACCATCCATTCACTCAAGCTTATCAGTTAGATTGTGTATTTCTTTCTTTTGGCTTTCTTACCTTCAATCTGTTCTGTGAGTATTAAATTTTCCAAGCTCTCTTTCCTCATTATGTGTTCCATAAATCTTAACTGTATCTCCCTGAGTATAAGTACCTTTTTGTTGCCATCATCTTTAGAATTTTGTCATTGCTCATATGTTCGGTAAATGGTATCCTCAGCATCCTTCTGTAGAACCATATTTCTGTTGCTTCAAGTCTGTTTCATCTGGGAGGAGATTGTCCTGCATTCACTGCTATATTGGAGTAGTGATATTACATAAAAGTTCAGTACTACCCTACCAATGTTAACTTGATAGTATAAACACTATTTTGGTTTAACTGACAAGATAGCATTGATTTGTTAGTATGATCTTAATGGGAAACACAATTCACTAGTCTAAATCCATTGGAATTTCCAAATACTTATAACCACTGACCAATGCTGTTTGGTACTCTTATATGATTTGGGACTTTACATCTAATAATATATAAAATATATGTCATATATAAGATAATATGCCTATGCAGTACATTCCGCTTAAATGCAGCATCAGTTACAAAGAATGGCCACTTTGTAGGACCAGATGTGAAAAATCAGAACGAAATATATGCAATATTTTCTCCTTTTCATGAAAATTTGATTAAAATGAATGACTACTTACTGAGACCAAAATCCGTGGTCCCATTGTGGCTTGCACAAGTAGTATCCACTGTAATGATATATATTTCAACTCAAACAATTCTGACAGAATCTCTTACAGAGCTGAGTATTAAGGTCTTGTGTTAACAGGTAACATTAGAAGCCATTTTCTGGATGACTCCTTTTGGAGGAAGCATTAATGGATTCCCAATACCACAACTGCTACAACTGAAGATCTTTAAATAGCTTTGCTTTGACTCCTGGTATGGTAGACCTTAACTGTTAAAATTATATCTTATGCAGTGGTTTCTATAAGATATTAAAATCTACATGCTTTACTCATAGTTTTCTTTTATCACAAATTAATACATGTATTTTTATTCTCCTTTCAACCACATCTTTAACCATATTCAACAAAAGGAAAGGTGTCTATAGTTTCTATTTACACATATATTTTTTAAACAAGAAAATTATTTCATTTCTTAAGTGTTGTTTAAGTCTGATTTTAAAGGACAGCAGGATGATTCTTTCATATATTTTCAGCCAGAACTACATGCAGCATTGGATAATATTTTTCTTCTATAAAGAACTGGCCTTTGTTAGGAGATTGTGAAGTTTTACTATGAATACTAGTCTGATACTGTACAACTTTAGATCTTTGAAACAACCTTTCTTGCGATTGAGTAGGAAACTCTAATTTTACCCTGAAAGTGTTTATAGAAAAGACACAGAGAAGCTATCTTCTGGTTGTGGGAAAGTGACTGAACCCTAGATGCCAGGTCAGGGCCAATAACAATGCAGATTCTTCTTTCAGTTTTTCTTTCAAATCTCTAGATATAAAGCAGAATCATCAAACAAGATGTGACAGCAATATTCAATGGACAGATGAATGGTAGACTTATTAATGTGCATGATAAATTCTAGTGAGAATAAAATGTCTTGCATGATATAGGGAACCAACTTTTAAAGCAGTAGACTTAACAATTCAATATAATCATTCCGCTTTTCATGTCAGTGGAAAACATCAGACCAAGATGGCACAGTTAGTTGCTTTCCTGGAGGTTAGTATCAGTGTGAAGATCTTACTTATGATAAGTGAATCTAACTGTAAGTAAAAGTTTTCCCTATGTTGATATTCGTGTACCAGAAATTGTATTTTCTGAGATGATCTACTTGATTTATCTGTCATGGATGAAGAACTCAATACAGAGTAGAAATTTCTTTAGAGCATATTTAAGTTGCATGAGGTCAATGATTCTTTACAAAAGAAATAAAAATAATATTTTTTTTACTAGAGTACAGTACCCACCTAAAACAAAAACAGCAAAAGCAAAAATTAAGACTACATGACTTTTTTTTATTGGATAGGGTCCAATCTCTTGTTTCAAATTCAAATACCAATTCTGCATGTCTTTGTGATGGTAAGTGAATTGAGTCTAAGATGTAGAGATCAGTGTCATTTGAGCCAAACTGTGTCTTTTCTGTTTGGCTCAGATGGATTTAATTGGCTCAAGAGAATTGTAAAACAAAAGGAAGAGAAAATTACAATTTAATTACTAACTAAATTCAACCTCTATGAACAATAAAAAGAAAAAGAAAATGAAAGCAGACTATCAATGTTTTAGAATTGATTTTAAATACTAAAGATCACTTTCTTTCTTAGTAATGACTGGAGAATACGCATTTTGAATACAAAAAAATCTATGAGCTTTTCTTTCATGTCTGAAACTGATCTCTTTCATTGAATTACAAAGTCAATAAATCTGTCAATATAAATTAATTTCCACAATGCATTTATGGAAGTTATAATTATCTTTAACAATTACTGCAAATTTAGAAACATCAGTTTTATTTTTTTTAAGGAAATCAAGTGCTAAAGAACCTAAATTCTTTGCAGGAAAGAATATTTACTCATGAGAGCAAATGATATTTATTGATTTAGTGATGAAAAAATAACACTTGTTTTATTTTTTTTTTTACTTATGTAACTTTTCAAGTTAACTTTCAAACATTACAGATTGAGTTTATAGTGTAAAGATGAATTAGTTTTGTTAGTCAAGCTTGTTAATTAAGTAAGAGGAAGACATGAATTCTGAAGACTGCGAAATCAAAGACATTCATTTAATGACCAGTTGAGAGCATGAAATTATTCAAACAGTACGTTGTTGTCTTCTACTTAAAATTAACCATTTTTTGGGGATTTAAAAATGAAGAAAAAAGAGAAATGAGAAGAGGGAATAATGCAAAATGAAAAACTTGAACAGGTTTATGTTTCTTTCTTCACAACAAAAAGAACTGCAAAATGTTTTAAAAAATACAGAGAAGCATAAAAGAAAAGATGAACAGGCAAAAGAAGATTAGAACAATTTTTTCAGTAAAAAAAATTGTTATTAAATCGTTGAAGGATGACAATTTTTGTCCATTTGTAAAAGGTGAAGCCTCTGATCATCATACAAGCATGAAAAGTTGGAAAAAAATATCGGGAGAGTTATACTTTGTGAGTTACAATAAATAGCAACTGAAATTGAAATGAAAACACACAAGTCAAAAATAAAGAATAATGTTCATCTAAAAAGTCAGATATTATGTCTAATATCATTTTTCAGCCTTTTGGCTAAAGTCAAAGTGTAGTATCTACTAATGTATATACACAAAGGTAGAAGTTTATCAGGATGTGGACTATATGAGGAATATATGGCTAAATTTGAATAACTGCTGCTGGCTGACCTTTGTAGCCAAATTAGTGAGGAAGCTGCTAAAGAAAAGATTTTCGAGGAATATGAATTTTAGCCTTGCCAGAAGCTGTTTCTCTAATTTCAATACATACTGCTTGCTAATATTCACAGAATAATGAATTGCAATAAAAGCAACTGAAATAAAAATGAAAACCTAAAAGTCAAAAATAAAGAATAATTGAAAATGTTCATTTAAAAGTTCAAATATTACATCTAATACCACTAGACAAATGTATATCAGTATCTGGTATAAATATGGAATATAGATATATGTAAATGACTACAGTTGGTTGACCATTGTAGAGTAATTGGTAAGGAAGCTGTCACTGAAAGATAAGGATTTAAATTTGAGACTTTCTAGAGGCTTTTCTGTATTTTCAATCCATGCTGCAGTTTAACAACCATGGATTTTTGATTGATTTATTTTTTATGACTTATCAACCCTTTGTGGGTTATTTGAAGCTGAAACATTTTGGATTGAAATAATAATTTCATTTATTATTTTATTTTTGTTGAGTAAATATTGCATTAACAATTTTTCTTCTTGATAAAAATCCGACTATTTGACCCATAGCTAGGAGGTGAAGAGAGGGTATTTTCAAGGGTATTTTTTCATAACTGAAAATTGGAACTCAGCTCTCTGATTTCTTATTCCAAGCCATTATCCATTACACCACCCGCACATCCTCTAATAATCACAGAATAGCGATAAGTTGCAATAAAAAGTAACTGAGATTAAAATGAAAAATACAAGTCAAAATTTAAATAGGTGAAATGTCTGCTGAAAATATAAATAAAAATATTTAAACCTAGTCTTGATACACATCACAGAAATGTGACCAACTCTATTAATGTAAACATCATATTAATTTATTAATGTCATTTCATATCTTTATTAGATGATTTAAAATTTAATGTCTTCAGATGAAATGAACGATTTTTGATTTACTGTCTTAATCTTACTTTTCATTTAGATTAGGTCTGGTAATAAATAGATGCATTCACATTTGTGCGTATTGTGGAAATATATAATTTTAGATGTGGTCTGAACAACTTGGATTTAATTAGATTGATTCTTTTTCCTCTTTGTCCAAGTGTTATTCCCCAAAATCTGTTTCTTGATTTCATAGTTTCAGTCTGGGAATAGAGCAATTTATTTTGTTGTGTAGTTTTGCTCCATTTCTTAAGTGATTCTGGAAACCTACTTTGAAAATTATATAAATTAGAAATTTGTGAAGGTGGGGAAATATCTTTTTAAAATTAGTAAAGGCAAGTGAGATATTGCAGTTAAACCTTTTTATAATTAGGTTTCTTTAATGTTTCTTCAGTCCCTTTTATGAAAAGGAAATATTCTCATCGAGTAAAGTGAATTGGAAGCCATTTTTATGATGACTTGCAAACCACACGACATGAAGTCATTTAATTTACAAACACATTACAAGTTGCCTCTCTGCTTAAATTTAATGGAAAAAAGACTTTTTTACCTTTTTTATGGGAAGTATAACCAAATTTTTGGTTGTTAACTTTTGTAATATTTATTGATTTTCTTTTTGCACCTTGATAACATTGCATTTTATATATCAATTTTCCCTGCCAGCTGATAGAACCCATTGCAAGAGCAAAAGACAGAAGATCTATGTATCTGAAAGTTTACTTCAGGTTTTATATGAGAAAAGCTTGTTGCCACACATTGTACATACCTGTATAACATTCAAATCATTCAGCTTTGGGCCAAAAATGTGTCAAATTTCTATTGATTTGGTTTTCCCGGATTACAGCTAAGGGTACCAAAGCTTTTCTTGGATGATGATGATGATGATGTGGTTTCAAACCAACATCTGATGTTAAGATAAATAATTAGTATCATTATTATAATTGTGCTTTGTCTTTGTTTTGTGTAGTATAAGTTACATCCTAATCACAATCAGAGACTTCAAGAGATAACAAATTTGCTTCTATCAACTGATACAAACAGATGA